CTGTCGTTCAATAATTTTATTACTCGTACGAGTAATAAAATTACTATTTATTACTGGCCAATTTATCACAGTCAGTGATACTTTTCTATAAGACTAAAATCTCCTTGGCGAAATTTTCCATATCATCTTTTACACGTAGCATGACTTACAGCGTTCTCTCCATATGCAGCATAAATCATTTCAGTGGCTTCAGCAGCATTTTTCTTCAGATAAAATGCGAAGTGAATGGAAAATCGAGTTTGCTTTTTTGTTATTGCCATCGTGAACTGATTTTTGAGGTTATGTACATCAAACCGCATGGCATTTTAGAAGGCAAAATGTCAACGCTTTAAAACCGCAAAAGGGCGGAAAAATAAATAAAATTTAAATTGTTATTTCGGTTGTATGAAATCTAAAGCTCAGAACTTTTTTGCTCATCTAATATTTCATCAATATTAAAGTTGTGTAAAAATCATCGGCCACTTTAACAGACAGGTATATCAGAACAGAATTTATAACCAAATCTTATATTTATGATCGTTTCAAATTTATTTTTAGATATTGAATGAATTGTTTCATTGGCTACAAAGCATCTAAAAATGAACTTGAAATAATTTTTAATAAAAATCTGACCTTGGCTTTGATCCGATTCACGTTTAGTGCACGCCTATAGCACTATAAACATCATTCTATCTTTATTGTTCATTACATGCCGAAGAAAGATAGAATGAAGTTACCAGCAGTGTAATGCGTTGTCTACAATGGCAGTAGGAGTACCCTTATAGAAATATCATACTAAGAATCATTGATAATTACTTATTATCCAGTATTTTTAATACTGAAAATAAGTAATTATCAATGATTCTTAGTATGATATTTCTATAAGGGTATTAGTAAGAAATAAGTAGTAATAAAATGAAGCAATCACAATCGATTATTCTTAAATTGTAAGAATGGAATGAGTCAACTTGTTTACTACTTATTTCTTACTACTACTTCTACTGCCATTGTAGATGATGCATAAAACTCAATCTACAATAGATGTAGTAGATGTAGTAAACTTTACGCCGTCAGAAATTAATCAATCACAATTGATTATTCTTGTATAAGTCGACTGTGATTAGTCAATTTCTTGCTGCTTAAAGTTTATTACACCTATTGTAAATCGGGATATAAAGCTAGTAACAAATAGAAAAATATAAGTTGTAAGACGTAAACAGTAAGAAAATTGATCAATCACAATCGACTATTCTCTTTACAGTCCAAAAATAATTAAATGAGATTGGTCAATTTGCTTAATATATTTTTATTATTTCACATAAATTTGAGTTAAATTTAAAGAATTTAAAGAACTATTTATAAAATAAAAAATACACATATAGTTTTAAATTACTAAGTTCTCCGTAAGTAACTTCTAACTTTTTTTTTAACTTTTTGACTTTTAACTGAGTTAGTATTTTATTTTAGTAACTTTTAATGTAAACTAGATTATTTTATAGCGAACTAACTTTTAACTTAACTCAGTTAAAAACCAAACGTAACTTACCTAACTCTGATATTTGGCCCACTGGCCTTGGTCCTCTCACGGAAGTAAGCTATCGTTTTGATCCTGGCTGTGATCTCGACCCCCTTCGGAGCCCCGCCGGGCGCCGATATACAGGGTGAGTCATTTTAGTATATGGATCCGAATATCTTCCAAATTACGGTATCTACAAAAAAATGGTTTAGATAAAAGTTGACCAGCACAGAGGGGGTCATTCAATTATACCATTGGTTTTGACCTTGAGGTCAATTTTGAAGGTTACTTCAAGGTCACGATGGTTTTTTCTAATGGGACACCCTATTTTTGACTGCGGATTTCGAAAGAGCGGAAAATTTTACATCAAACTTGTCTTATGAAAAAATTGTTTTTGCGACCTTGGAAAGGTAAAAAATGAAGGTGAAATGTCTGAAAAACGATCTGGTGTACTTTTTCTGAAATGACGTGGTTTTCTGGGTAACACAAATGTGCATAATGCTTAAACAAAGTCAATGAATTGTAAAAGTGTAAATCACTTTAACTAGCTTGACCTTGAGGTCAATTTTCAAGGTTGTTTGAGGCTCATAACGCATTTTTTGATCAGTAAACCCTATTTTTGACCGCAGAACCTGTTTCTTGACAATGGGCTCTTAAACAATGGCACTTTTTACATGAGCATAGGGATTTTTTAGTTTTTCGACCTGACCTTTTGAAGGTCATATCAAGGTCATATCAAGGATAAATGGAAATCCATTTCTACTACGGGAGAAGCGGACGTAAGGTATCCGATACCTAATGCTAATAATCAACGATTGAAAAAAACTAAACAATTACGTTTGATTTAAGATTTATAATTATTGTTATAATAATAGAGTTTTATTCCTTTTCTTTCTTACTCACTTCTGCATAATTGAAAAATTTACTATTTAAAGTTGCTTAAATTTAAAAATTCCAAACATACATACAGGGTATGTAGGTAATTACATTCACAAGTTACCTTTCCAGAATGGCTGATTATAGTCCTAATGAGATTGTTGATATTATATTAGTTTTAGGGGAGTGTCATAGCAATTACAATGCAGCATCAAGGCTTTACGCTCAACGTTTTCCTGAAAGGCGACATCCAACTGATATGACAATACGTAGTTTAGTCCAAAGAGCTCGCAATGGACATCTTGTTCGTCAACGTCAACATCATGAATATGACGAAAATGATGCGCGAGCTGTAACTATTTCAGCAATAGTTCACCTTAATCCTCATGTTAGTACTCGCCAGATTGAAAGGGAAATAGGTATACCACAAAGAACTGTTGTTAGAATTTTAAGAGCTCTAAATTATCACCCTTTCCACATCACTCTTACGCAGGCTTTACAGCCTAATCATCATCTGATGCGTATTGCTTTTTGCCAGTGGGCTTTACAAATGTTACACGATGATCCTAATTTTTTTAGGTATGTGCTTTTCTCAGATGAGGCTAAATTTTATAGTGACGGACAACTTAATAGACACAACTGCCATTATTGGTCAGATGTTAATCCCCACTGGTATAGGCCAATAGATCATCAAAATCGATGGAGTATTATGGTGTGGTGCGGCATTGTAAATGGTTATTTGATTGGACCTTATTTTTTTGAAGAGAACGTTGATAGACACAGTTACTTATCGTTGCTAAGAGATCACTTACCAGGCTTATTAGAAGATGTTGACTTAGCAACAAGAGCAAGAATGTGGCTTCAACAAGATGGTGCTGCACCGCATTATGCACTCATTGTACGTACCTTTTTAAATGCCAGTTACAATGACAGATGGATTGGACGAAGGGGTCCAGTTGAATGGCCTCCTTGCTCACCAGATCTGACGTCGCCTGATTTCTTTTTATGGGGATACTTGAAAAATGTTGTTTTTGCTGAACGACCAACCACAAGAGATGATTTTATGGACCGCATTCGTAGAGCTTGTGCAGCCATTCCTAGAGCTACCCTGCTTAGAACTGTGGATAGTTTTCAAAACAGATTGCAGTTATGCCTCGAAGCCAACGGAGGTAATTTTGAACAATTACTCCGTGGGTAATTCATTTAAATTACAGTGTCAGTGAGAGGCAAGGGGACTCACGATAATCAAGCACCCCGACGTGAGAGGCAAGGGGACTCACGATAATCAAGCACCCCGACGTGAGAGGCAAGGGGACTCACGATAATCAAGCACCCCAACGTGAGAGGCAAGGGGACTCACGATAATCAAGCACCCTAAAGGAAAATTGACCTCAAGGTCAAGCTAGTTAAAGTGATTTACACTTTTACAATTCATTGACTTTGTTTAAGCATTATGCACATTTGTGTTACCCAGAAAACCACGTCATTTCAGAAAAAGTACACCAGATCGTTTTTCAGACATTTCACCTTCATTTTTGACCTTTCCAAGGTCGCAAAAACAATTTTTTCATAAGACAAGTTTGATGTAAAATTTTCCGCTCTTTCGAAATCCGCAGTCAAAAATAGGGTGTCCCATTAGAAAAAACCATCGTGACCTTGAAGTAACCTTCAAAATTGACCTCAAGGTCAAAACCAATGGTACAATTGAATGACCCCCTCTGTCCTGGTCAACTTTTATCTAAACCATTTTTTTGTAGATACCGTAATTTGGAAGATATTCGGATCCATAGACTAAAATGACTCACCCTGTATGTCGGCATACTGCTGGGCGAGGAACTCTAAAGAGGAAAGTCCAGTCAGGACCGCCGCCGCCTCAAAACTTATGGTGTGGTAGCACTTCGTGACCCTTAAGGCCACTGGCCGCATGGCTCCGCGGAGGATTCTTTTGGCTCGGCCAGAGGTCTGCAAGGCGCCGGACTAGACGGGCGCCCCGTACAGGGCCACGGATGTCACCACTTTTAAGTAGAGGCGGCGGAGCCTTCAATTGAGGTCTCCAAAATTTTTCATAAAAACGACAAAGACGTTGCCGACCCATGAGACCCTGGAGGACACGCGCTCGAAATGAGCGACAAACCTTCACTGGCCATCCAGCAGGAGGCTTAGATATTTGACCTGGGCCCCCACCTAGGGACTTCATCCACCAGGAGTCTGATGGGGAGCTCCATGTCTTTCGTTGTGGAAGAACAGACCTTGTCCAAACTTTGACGATGTCATACGATAAGATACGACTGATAAAATCAGCGAATAGATCTTTCCAAACCCTTCAATTTAAATATATATATATATATATATATATATATATATATATATATATATATATATATATATATATA